GAAAATAACTGTTGGCCCAGAATTCTATATTCAATGAAAATATCTTTCAAGAATGAAGGGGAAAGGGCTTGCAGTTTTAAAATTTGGGAAACTGTGATCGAAATCTGAGAGCTTCTCTTTGGAACGTCAAGGACAAGCAGCAAGACCAGGACATGTAGTTTGGGGGAGCGAGGATATATAGGAGGATTAGAGACTCTTCTTTGGAGTACTGATCTAAAGGTTTAGGAAGTACTTGGATAATAAGGAAATGTTGGGGTGTCCTGATGAGTTGGTTTGTGAACCCCAAGTATACAAAGACATTCTTATGAGGCAGAATGTCTCAAGGACTTAGAGGTTATCTCCCAGGAGCCAGTCAAGGGTCAATCTTTTCTTTTAAATATACAGAGTTTATACATCCCAAGCCTGCTTAGTTAACCCTGTATTGCACATACAGCAACCAAATGCAATGTGTGGACCTTGTCTGAATTTTGATTCAAACAAACCACTGTAAACAAAACAAAACAAAACAAAAAAAAGACCTTTTCTTTTTTCATGTAACAGTTTATTAAGGTATAATAGACATGTAACAAACACATTGCATATATTTAAATTGCACAGTTTGATAAGTTTTGATATATGCACAGACTTGTGAAATGATCACCACAATCAAAATAATGAATGTATACATACATCACTACCAAGAGTTTCTTCTTGTTCCTCTTTAATCCCTCCACCTGGCTCTTCTGTGTCCTCCCTATCCCCAGGCAACCATTTATCTTCTTTCTGTTACCAAATTTGTATTTTTCAGAATTTTATATAAATGGAATTATGTAGTATGTGCTCTACATCTGGCTTCTTTCACTCAGCATAATTATTTTGAGTTTGTCTATGTTGTTGCTACATCTATAATGTATTTCTTTTTATTGCTGAATAGTATTTCATTGTATTGATATACATCAATTTGTTTATACCTCAGTATGTCCATCTTGTGTTGATGGGCATTTGGTTTGTTTCCAGTTTGGGATATTACAAATTAAGATACTATGAATATTTACATACAAGTCATTGTATGGACATATGCTTTTGTTTCTCTTGCGTAAATGCCTGGGATAGAATTACTGTTTCATATAATAGGTATATGCTTAAGTTTTTAACTAAAATGGATGATAGGCCGAAAGGTAAAAATCTAACACTATTTAGATGAAGACATAGAAGAAAACCTTTGTGGCCTTGGGATAGGTGAATATTTCTTAGATATGACTGTAAAACATAATTCATATAAGAAAAATGACAAATTAAATGTTCTCTAAAGTAAGAAACATGCTCTTTGAAATACAGTTAAGAGAATGAAAAAGCAAGCTACAGACTGGATGAATATTTTTGCCTATCACATATCTGATAAAAGGCATGTCCGGCCTGGCGCAGTGGCTCACGCCTGTAATTCCAGCACTTTGGGAGGCCAAGGTAAGCGGATCATGAGGTCAGGAGTTCAAGACCAGCCTGGACAACATGGTGAAACCCTGTCTCTACTAAAAATACAAAAATTAGCTGGGTGTGGTGGCATGTGCCTGTAATCCCAGCTACTCAGGAGGCTGAGGCAGGAGAACTGCTTGAACCTGGGAGGCAGAGGTTGCAGTGAGCGCAATCATGCCACTGCACTCCAGCCTGGGTGACAGAGCGAGATTCCATCTCAGGAAAAAAAAAAAAAAAAGACATGCCCAGAATATAAAAATATTTCTCAAAAGTTAGTAAGAAAACAAAAACAAAATTTTTAAATGCACCAAAGATGTGAACAAAAACAGAAGACAGAAGATATATGAATGGAAAATAATCATGTGAAAAGATGCCCAACATCATTAATCATTAGGAAAACGCAAGTTAAGACACACTGAGAAACTACTAAGCACCAATTACTATGTTTAAGATTACAAACAATACAATACCAATTACTGGCAAAGAGGTGGAACAACTGAAACTCCCATAAACTGATGGGAATATAAAATGGTACAACCACTTTGGAAAACCCTTTGATGGTTTCTTTTCATTTTTGTTTTGAAGTTTGACTTTAAAATAATTTCCAACTTACATAGAAGTTTCAAGAGTCATTCAAAGAGCTCTCATATATCCTTCACCTAAATTCTCCAATGTTCAGCATTCCACATTTGATTTAGCATCATCTCTCTTCTTTTTCCTGAATCATTTGGGAGCTAACTGCATATTTAATACATCACTGCCCCCTTAATGCTGCATTGGAAATTTCCTAAGAAGGAAGACACTATTCTACATGTCACCAGTACAACAAAGTCAGAAAATCAACATTGGTATAATACTGCCATCTAATCCACAGACTCCTTTCAAATTTTGCTGTTTGTTTTAATTATATCTTTTATAGCTCCAGCATCCAGTATAGACTCTAATTTTATACAATGGAAATATTTGAACATAGGTATTAAATGATGTTAAGAAATTGTTAATTTTTTTTAAGAGACAATGTCTTACTCTGTTGCCCAGATTGGAGCGCAGTGCTGCAGTCATAGCTCACTGCAGCCTTGGACTCCTAGGCTCAAGCCATCCTCCCACACAGCCTCCTGTGTAACTGGGACTACATGTCACCTTGTCCAGCTAATTTTTTATTTTATTTTTTGTAGAGATGGGGCCTCACTATGTTGCCTAGGCTGGTCTCAAACTCCTGGCCTCAAGTGATCCTCCACTTTGTGCTGGGATTACAGGTGTGAGCCACTGTACCTGGCCAAATGGTTACATGTTTAGGGCATAAGGTTAGTAGTATGTTATGTTGGTTCCTTTTCTAGTTAGAGATATATACTTAGGTATTTATATTTTTTAATTATATGATTGAGATTTAAAAAAACACTCCTGAGGGTTAGAGAGAAGAGATGAAATAAGATTGACAAAATATCTATAGTTGTTGAAGCTGGATGATGAGTACAGAAGAGTTTACTTCTATGTATGTTTGACATTTTCATAAATATAGGTTTAAAAATTTTTTTTAAAAAAGACCAATAGAGAAATGGAATAATTTTAAGGATTAGAGTACAATGGCCATATTTGCAATTTAGAAACATTACTCTGGCTGCAATAGGAAGAATAGCTTAATGTGGCACAAGAATGAAGACAGTGACTAATTAAGAGAGCTATTGAAGTAACCCAGGGAATTGGTGACAGTAGCCTGAACTAAGTTAGTGGCAATGGGTTAGAGCGTAGTGGATGGACAGAAGAAGTGGTGACTATTTGGATGTGAGTTGAGAGAAAGGGAATTCAGAATCCCACTC